CCGGCTTCTGGAGCTCTGTCCTTTTAGCGCTCTCCCTTTTTCTTTTTCTTTTTTTTTTATGGTTCCTGCACCTTCAGGAAATGACCCTTTTATAGGGTCAACACTATAAAACACTTGTTTTTCTTGGGACTGGTTAGTGCACAAGTGTGTGTGTAGTGGGGGTATAAGTGTTGAAGTTACTACCGGTTCGTCTTTGGTGCCAAAGAAAGAGACCTGATGAGGCTAATAGTCTTCTCGTCCTATATATCACATAACTGTGAACTCCGTGACCTTTTTTGTCAATAGCAGAACTTTTCTCTGGAGTGTGTGTGTGAGACTGGGGCGTGCACGACTATCCCTGTGTGTCCACCCAAAAGTGCACATGTGGAAATCTGCACTGTCATACCCAAACAAGTGTGTTGATGCAGGAGACGGTTTAGGCACCAAGTGCTTCATCTCAGCAGGGATTTGGAAAAATGTTGGAACTTTAAGTTTGGATTCTGACGTTTGAATGAAACTAATAACATTCAGATTAAAACATGGATTAGTTGATGAGGCAAGGAGGCAGCATCGATATGGTTGATGATAATCGATAGGTGCAGCTTTATTTATCACAAGAATTAGAAGAACATTTACAAAATCAGTTGGAACAACTTTGTTTTATTTCATTAACGTCTCTCAGGCAGCTTACTGTATAAAATACCCATCAGTCAGCATGAAGCAGGCTGAAACAAAATCAGACTGAAACAAAAGAGCAACGCTTAATGGCCTGAAGAACTAATGATAAATAAAGTCACTGCATCAAGACCTCTGGAATGTTTGGAAAGTTTATAATCCACATTGAGAAAAATTACAAAAGTTGCATCTTCCTAGAAGAGGCTTAACCAAAATTACTCAAAAAAGTGCATCAGTGGCTCCAAAAGAAGGTCCCAAATGAAGACCAGAACCTTTATCTAAAGCTAACTTTAATTTTCAAAGAGCTCGAGATAATTTAAAGAAGTTTTTATAAAAATATTCTGGGGACCCAAAAGAGAAATTACAAAACGTTTAGCATAAAAGTATTTTATGCATTTTAGAAAAAGAACCTCAGATTTGTGGCTGCTTTGATGGAAACGAAGGAACTTTGGAAAATAACAAGAAGAAAACCAACAAGTTCACCTTTGAATGGGTCAAAAGGGAAGGTTTGATCTGACAATTACCAGTTCTCCAAATCCAAACAGGTGTTAGATTGAAGGGGTGATTACTTCTTTTCATAGTGTCAGGACAGTTTAGAGAGTTTTCCATGTAAGAAAACTACATTTTGTGTTTTTTTCTAATATCAAGATGGGGTTTTAACAGGAAAAAGAAGCAAAGAGAGAGGAAATCTGTGGAAGAACATTAAGAATACAATGAAAAATTACATCACTGGATATCAGGTATTTATTCTGTAAGAAGACGGAAAATAAATTTACTCAGAATAGACGAAAACAATTAAGAACAAACATCAGGAGCAGAGATTCTAGACAGGATAAGGGAAACTTCTCTGGTTTATTACTAACCATTCAGAGCATCTCCAAGGTGTTTAAGGAAATCTCATCGAATAAACATGCAGGGAATGATTCACAAAACAGGTCAAGCAAGTTTAAAGACTAAATAGACTTCAGGTTATCCTTACACTTATTTACAGTAAAGCAAACTAAGCCCCAAAGTAAACTCTTCCCAGCCAATCATGCACTCAAAATCTGTGCAAATAATTTAGATTTCATGTCAAGCTGTGCTAAATTGTGCCATTTGAAACAGCTTTTCTACACAATATCCTGTAAATCCCACATATGATATAAAAAGCCCTATTTTTTCATGATATTTAATTAGAAACCAGGAAGCAAGGTCCTGATCAACCCCCACTCCAGCACCCACGTACCTTGAGTGAATACTAAGAAGCAACACAGGCACAGGTCCAATTCAGAATGTATTGTGTGAACCCCCATGGCCCATCAAAGGGAGCGTGCACACAACCATGAAAGGGTGATTGGGCTGGAGGTGCGCAGGGAATAGTGTTTGAAGTTCTCCTTCTATATAACAGAAGAAGGAAAAGGCATTTATAATCCGCTGGGATTGCTAATCACCATGGGCTAAAAAAGAAAAGAAAACAGAGATGCACTCATTCTCTCTCAGCTCTTCTATAAATACTGGAGGAAAGGATAAAAAAATAGGTATAAGGAGCTTGGGGGGGACAAACAAGGGGGGGGAACTGCTGCTGAGGTAAAAAGCTGAAACAAATGGATGAGAAGAGCCAGAGCTTTAGCTCACCATCATTAGTCTCTTCTTAAGAGGTGGGATGAGAACGACTGCTTATGTTCCTCGATAAACAATATTTAGTCCATATATAGAAAGATTCTGATCTAACACCCATGAAGTCATAAACTAAAGGACAATTAGAACGTTTTTGATTGAAAACGCTTAGATAAACGAAACCTTTCCCACAGGACGCTGCTGCCACCGACAGCTTCTTCAGATTCCCCAAACGCTACAGTCACATTAAATAAAGTGGAATTTGCGCTCCAGCAAGGCTTGTTTGTCGAAATTAAAAGCACTTTTTTACCAGAACAAACTATAAAGAGGTATCAAATATGCTTGACTTCATTTAGATGTCTAACGTAATGTTTTAACATCATGTCTCCATTGTCATAAAATCATATAAAGTCTGTTTTCTAATCTCAAAGCTGTGTTTTGCTTTATGAACTGAGCTGCTAAAATAAAACGTTTTAATTATATTCTCATTTATCCAATGGTTTTGTAATTGATACATTAACTAACTAGCTAGCTGGAGTTAGCTAGATGCCAAACAATAAGGCGAGAAAATAATAATTAATTAACTTTATTGATCTCACATTGGAGAAATTAACATCTGCATTTAACCCATTGGGCTGCCATTGTGCGGCGCCCAGGGAGTATGGGGTTAAGGGCCTTGCTCAGGCACCCAGAGTGGAGGCAGTGGGGTTCGTACTTTCAACCTTCTCAGAGTACAGAAGCACTGCTCTAGCACCATAGGCCCACACTCTTGATTTCCAGCTACTTTTCCCCGTAAATGTATTATTCTATTTGTTTAATTTGGGGTTATTGCTTTTTTTATGGCCTTAACTGTAAATTCTTTGTAGATAAGACAAGACAAGAGAAGACAAGACAAGACAAGGCTAGATAAGATGGGATAAGAGAAGACAAGACATGATAAGACAAGACAAGAGAAGATAAGATAAGATAAGACAAGTCTAGATGAGATAAGACAAGATAGGACAAGACAAGACTAGATAAGACAAGAGAAGACAACACAAGACTGGATAAGATGGGATAAGGGAAGAGAAGACAAGACATGATAAGATGGGATAGGAGAAGAAAAGACAATACATGATAAGACAAGATAAGATAAGACAAGTCTAAATGAGATAAGACAAGACTATGAGATAAGACAAGATAGGACAAGACAAGACTAGATAAAACAAGAGAAGACAACGCAAGACTGGATAAGACAGGATAAGGGAAGAGAAGACAAGACATGATAAGACAAGAGAAGATAAGATAAGATAAGACAAGTCTAGATGAGATAAGACAAGATAGGACAAGACAAGACTAGATAAGACAAGAGAAGACAACACAAGACTGGATAAGATGGGATAAGGGAAGAGAAGACAAGACATGATAAGACAAGACAAGAGAAGATAAGATAAGACAAGTCTAGATGAGATAAGACAAGACTAGATGAGATAAGACAAGATAGGACAAGACTAGATAAGACAAGAGAAGACAACACAAGACTGGATAAGATGGGATAACGGAAGAGAAGACAAGACATGATAAGATTAAACAAGACAAGAGAAGACAAGATAAGACAAGACTAGATAAGATAAGACAAGACTAGAAAAGATAAGATAAGACAGACTTTATGGATGTTACAGTTGAAAAATTAACTTGTCACATCGGCTCAATAGTCAAAAGAAGATAGACCACAGCATGATGCTGCCACCACCGCAGAACACTTCTGACAGATTCATTCTCTACTCAGGAGATCCTCATAAAAGCCAATATGTCTTGTTCTTCTGAGATATGAGCAAAGATGCTCATCAGATACCCGATGCCGTCCAGATAATCGCTCACAAAGGAGAGGGTTATAATTGGAAGTGTGTGTGCAGAATATATTATGTGTGTAAATGTTGTTGAGCCCCACGATTTACCGGGAAAAAGGTCACACACTCCCCTCGACCCGAAGTGTTTCGCTCTTTGTGTACTTGAGGTTAAAAGAGAGAGAGAGAGAGAGAGGGGATGGGGGGAAAACTGCGCCTATAAACTCCGCATTTAAAAGGCAAGTGCGGCCGGTGGGGGGGCCCTGCTGCATGACGGGGAACAATGGCAGGATTTTGGACACACTTTTTCTCACTGCGATGAACAGCAGGGAAACCGGTAGAGGCGCCTATAAAAAGAGCGATAGAGCACAGCTGTCAGGGTTCAACAGTAATTTTATAAAATGTCTCAGAGGGGCCTGCCTGTGGATTTATGGGAAACTAGAAGAGGACGAGCAAATTTCCAGCAGGCATCGATTATGGGCTCCTTTAATGGGCGATCACTCCAGATTTTAGAAAACATGCAACAAACAAAAGGATGAAAATGCAGAGAATCAGCTTTTTCTCAGTGTTTTGTTTTAAACCTGACTTTCCTCTATATTTAACCAAAAGTTTGAGCCTGGCTCTTTAATATTCTCCACCATCAGTAAAACCATCATCAGCATCACCACCATAAAAACCAACAGGCCATCTGAAGGCTGTGTGCCTCTGAATGACATGAATCCAGATTATTAAATTGCTCAGATTGGCAAATAATCCTAATCTAGAGAGGTTCAGGTGTTTGATTTTATATATATAAAAAGAAAACAATCAAAGCCAAACAAGCAGAAGGGATGTGAAAATGTCTGATGCTGTCACAGATCCATTTTAATCGCAGGACGCACATTTGGAGACGCATTCGCTGGATGATGCAGCGGTGTGACTTACGCTCAGAGGCCATGGTGATCACGGACTCGGTCGTGGCGTGATATTCGTCCTCCTCCATGAACTCATCCTGGGCCGACGCGTCTCCCTGGAAGTCGTGATGGTCCAGGAGCTGCTGGAGCGGGGGCGCCTTGGGCAGCAGCTGGTTGACCACCTCTCTGCTGATGTTGGGCGCCTGCTTCAGGCGCAGCTTGCTCAGGATCTGGGACTTAATGGTCTCCAGCCGCAGCACCTTGCTCTGCTCCCTCCACACGCACGCGGAGCACTCGTGGGAGCCGGCGTCCTCGTCCAGCAGGGACAGATCCGCGTCCGTGGGCGTCTCGCTGGCAGAAGGCATCAGCAGATTGGGCTCGTCGCTCCCTGACAGTCCCAGGAAGATGAGCGCCATCAAACATGGTAACAAGTCGTACCTCGGCATGATGAAGCTGGGAAACTTTTTTTCGCCTCTTTTAGTTGATTAATTCCTGGTTATATCCCTTTGGATCCTCGTCTCAGCCTAATAATAATAATAAAAACCTCCGGATCTTTCTAATCCACAATCAGCACAAATATGGTTTTCGTTTTTCCTGCACCGGGATGTTTAGAAATAAAGTAAAAAAAGAAAGAAAAAGTGCGTTCCAGTGTGTGATCTGCTTTTTTCTGTTTGATTGAAAGGTCAATTATCTGCTTGATGAATGCATAGCCAGCTCACTTGCAGTATATGATGGTCGCTGTGGGTCCCCGTGTGCAATTTAGTCCATGGAGGTGTGTGTGTGTGCATGTGCAGAAGTGTCACTGAAAAAAATGTGCAAGTGCGGTCAAAAAGGGGCTCTTTATATATCTCAGCAGCCCGGTGTCGTAATCCGCCTCCATTGGCTAAGATTGCAACAAAAGGCTTTTAGGTCTGTCACCAAGTCAAGAGGGACAGAGCGAAGGGAGGGTGGACGCGCTGTTATGGGACTAGAAATGTTTTTACAGTTCAGAACCGCTTTCAATTACAAACATTGACCAATTAAGGCTTTATAACAACCAGCTGACTTCTAAGCTCTGATTTTCTGCTTTTTACATGGAGTTTAGTCAACAAGAGCTGAACTGGCTAGTTTTGAATCACCAGACTTCATAAATTCAATACTTCTGAACATTATTCAGTGTATTTAAAAAAAAGATGTCCTCTGAGCATTTGTCTGCTGCTAAACCAGTCCACTGCATCCACATCATGGTAGAAATAGCTTTTGCAAAAAGAGTCAAAGTGGGGCATATGTGCAAAACAATCATACTTATAAAAAGTTAATCCGTGTGTAATAAGAGGAAAATTCATTTACAGCAACCTTCAGCAAAAGGCCTGCAATTTTTTATTTAAATATAATATATAAACATATTATCCTAGTTTTAGTTAAATTTGGATTTTTATTTTTATTACATGCTACATTATATTCCAACAAACTATTGTCAAAGAACTGTCAGTATAGCCATCCTTTTATGTTTAAGTGTGTGTGAATGTTTTTGTAAAAAGTTTTTATTTCTCTGGTACTGAGCTTTCCCTGCTGCATTATTGACTCACTACTGACACCTGCTGGTTAAAAAGCACACCTGCAGCTGTAATTTTGAGCTGCACAGATGGTTTTATTTACAGAAAGCTCAGAAAAACCGAATGAATGAGTGTGTGCATGAATGAATGAACGAATAACTATATTTCAGACGATACAGTAAAAAATAGTATAGTAAAAATAGTATAGAATAGTAAAAATAAATAGGTCTTATCTGTGAGAAGAGGGAGAAAGGCAAGGCAGGTTTATTTATTTAGCACAATTCTGTAGAAAGACAATTAAAAGTGTTTTAATTAAATAAATAAAAAACAAATATAAGAGAAATTAAAAGCAACAGCAAGTACAAATAAAAAACAATAAAAGCAGATAGAAAAGCAATTAAAAATTAAGGTCAGGGTGGTTCTAGATCAACTTTACCATGAGGGCCAGAATGGGCATTGCGTTTTTTCATGGGATCACAAAAAAAATTTGTAAAACAGAAAATGGGCAATTGTTAATCATTTGAAATATTGAGTCAAAGAGCTTTGGACACCTAAGATAGAGCAGATAAAACTGTATTTCTGTCTAAAGATCTCACCAAATATCTTACTCTGTGGTGTGGAGGCCGCAGCGCTGCAGACAGGAAGAAGGTGAGAACAGCAGAGGTGAGAACAATAAGACACATCACATCCACAAAACTTTCACTTTATTTCACAATATGACACATTTACATTATAGACAGCATATTAAAGTATATCAAAGATTTTTTAAACTTTATTAATCTAAAATGAGAAATTAAATTATACAAGATAATTCCAATAACAACAAAAATAATAATAGATTTTATTTACAGGTGCCTTTCTGGACACTCAAGGTCATCTTACAATTCATACATAAAAAAATACAAGACAGGCACATAGTTAAAACAGCAGAATAAATAAAATCATGATTAAGGTAAAACAGTAAAGATACTAATAAATTAAAGTGAATAAGAAAGTTTAAAATGGTGAGTTTTGAGCTAAGATTTGAAAGCTGATATAGAATTGGCTTACAATCAATTACCTTACTGTATACCAGAGGTCACAGATTAGCGGGCCAGGGTCCGGGTCCGGACCCCAAGGATTTAAAACATTTATAAATTATTGCATGTTGAAGACGAATATGAGAAAAAGAGAGCAGAGAAAGTGTGGACTGCTGGAAGAACTGCAGCGAACTGGTGAAAGAAAAGTGAAATGGTGCTCAAAGATGACCCTGCACATTTAGAGTATTGTAGAGGCAAGGATTCATTTTGGTAATGTCTCTAAGGGTAGGCTGCATGTGTTAAAGGTATGTATGGGCATGTGTGGGTGGAGCTATAAGTGGGTGTTGGCATGTGTTTGAGTGATTGTCTAATTAATATCACCTGGATCTGCTCTGAGGCTGTTTTTGTTTGTTTGATTCAGAGAGAGGCTAAGACAGGGTGCCAATATTTCTGTTGACCGCAAGTTGTAAGCAAATAAGTCTGCAAATCGACCTGTTGTACAATGCCTCACAGAAAAAGAGTACAATAAACATCCCTAACTGCAGAAAAGCTTTATGTTTCCTCCTTGGATTCAGCGCGTCGAACAGATCCCTGCTCTCCTCTCAGTGACTATTTTTTGGATGATAGTCGCCTACATTGTCAACAGAAATGGCAAAAGATCCAACACTTTGATTGAACTGTGCACGTAAGACAATGGACCACTCAGCCTTTTTGGACGCAAACTGTGAGTAAATGTGAATGAAAAGACGGAGCACAGCACAACCTGTGGTATGTTGGATTCAGTTTATTCATACTGTGAAGATCATATCTGTTTTGGACACAGTTGATGCTGGTTACCACTGCGTATTTGGATGCATAGATGCTGTGGCTGTTGGTTATATCATTCAGCTATATTACTCAAGACTGAATTAACTTGTGGAAACTGTGGATCACTCATTTGTGCATATCAAGATAAAGTTGGATTTGGATGTTTGATGCTGTTACTGCTGATGCTTAAGCCTGAATCAAAGTGTGGACATGCAATATTGGATTGTTCATGTATGGATGCAGATTTATGCCAAAAAACGCAACCCTGTTTGACTTGTGGACTGAAACCTGCTTTCTGAAATTCTGTGTTGCATTATTTGTTGGGCATCAAAGGCTGGTTCACAAGTAAATGACACTCATTGCAATGAAGTTTTTAAAAGGAAAACTTTTCCTACTGAAAAGGCCTTGATATGGAAAATGGAAACACTGCAGAAAGAACGCAAAGCAAAAGTGAATAAAATAAAAGGCCTCATCACTGCTTTAAATGAGCTCATAGAGAGGAATGATGATGTTTCTCAGGTGGAAACTGAGTTGGACAAGTTGATGCATTTGCATGAGGAGACAATTTCTCTGCATGAGTCACTGATGGAAATAATTCCTCAGGAAGAAAAGGACAAGCAAAAGGTGTGGTTTGAAAGTATCAATAAATATAACAAGGGATTTATTGAGGATGTAAAACAATGGATCTCTGAAACAAATGCACCATCCTTAAGACGTGCAACAAAGGATTCTGTGGTTGGTAAACAAAACAAAGAATGTGAAGAGCCACCATGTTTGTCACTACACGAGCCTCAGCTTGATGCTAAAGTGTCCTTAGACACAGGACAGGAAGGTTTTCCTGAAATAATAGACATGCAACAGGATGAAATTCAACCAAATGACAGCATCTCAAATGTTGGAAGCAGAAGACATGGATCAAAAAGTGGAACCTCAAGAACTTCAACCTCTTCTGTTTCATCTTCTCACATCAAAGCAGAAGCTGAAATAGCTGCTCTTCTTACTAGACAGAAATTATTCAAACAAAAGCAAGAGCTGGACCACCAAGAAGAGGAAATCAAGAAAAAGAAAGATTTGCGCTTGAGATGGAAATAGCTGCTGCTCAAGCTAAGATGGAGGTTCTAAGAGTCTCAGGAAGCAGTGTGAAAGGCAGCAAAAGTATAAAATCAAGTGGCATAGAATCCTATGTGGCCAAAGGGGCTTGTGCTGCTCTTAATGTTGAAGCTAATTCATTTGTGCCTGGTGGCCAAGGAGGGTATGACGCTCATACCACACTCAAGCCTCATCTGACAAAGTCAAGTGGAAGAAAACTTATTCCTGATGTTGGATCTCAAATACCCCAGCAGAGTCAAACTGCACACCTGATGGGACCTAATGTGTCAAATAACATTTTAAATTCTCAGTTAAGTGTCACGTCACATACCCAGCTGCCGGTCAATGCTGATGGTAACAATTTGCTATCTATAATGGCAAGGCAAAATGAAATCTCTGCTTTACTCACACAACAACATAACATTTCTCATTTGCCAAAACGAGATATCCAGGTGTTTGATGGAGATCCAATTCACTATCATGCTTTTATGAGAGCCTTTGAGCACAATGTAGAAAGGCGAACAGAAGACAGTGAAGACTGTTTGCCCTTTCTGGCTCAGTACACAAGGGGAGAACCACGAGAGCTTGTTCGAAGCTGTCAAAAAATGCCTCCAGAAAGAGGATATCTGAAGGCAAAGGCATTGTTGGAACAACATTTTGGGAATGAACAAAAGATTGCATCTGCATATTTGGACAAAGCGTTCTCTTGGCCTGTGGTTAAAGCAGAGGATGTTAAATCTCTTCAAGCATATGGTCTCTTTTTAAGAGGATGCTGTAATGCAATGGATGGCATAGAGTACATGTCTGAGCTTAACATGCCTTCTAACATGCTGATGGTGATCAAGAAGTTGCCATACAAGCTAAGAGACAAATGGAGGTCAGTAGCTTGTGATATTCAAGAAACCAGTCAGCGAAGAGCTAATTTTTCTGACATTGTGAACTTCATTGAACGTCAGGTAAAGATTGTGACAGACCCTGTATTTGGCAACATACAGGACACTGTAAAGATCATGCAAAGAGATGGGAGCAAAGATAACTACCAATGTCGAACACGAAAACAAAAAAGTAGTTTTGCCACTACTGTAGCAGCGATTGATGGAAAGAGTCAAGTAAAAAAAGAGGAAGTCCAAACTGACAAAAAGACCTGCCTTTACTGCAAGAGTGAACATGCATTGGAGTTGTGTTCTCTATTGGAAAAAAGAACACATAAAGAGAAAATCACTTTTCTCAGAGAGCATGGGGTCTGCTTTGGCTGTCTGTGCATAGGGCACATAAGTAAAGACTGCAAGAGGAGACTGACATGTAAAACATGTGGAGCTAAACACCCTAGCATGCTTCATATTCACTCAA